CCATCCATCCATCCATCCATCCATCCATCCATCCATCCATCCATCCATCCATCCATCCATCCATCCATTTTCTAACACCCTTATCCCAAGTGGGTGCTGGTGTCCATCTCCAGCTGTCAGTGGATGAGAGGCGGGGTCCACCCTGGACAGGTCTCCAGTCCATCGCAGGGCAACACAGAGACAAACAGGACAAACAACCACTCACACTCACTATCAACCTAAGGAGAATTTAGAGAGGCCAATTAACCTAACAGTCAAGTTTTTGGACTGTGGGAAGAAGCCGGAGTACCCGGAGAAAACCCACGCATGCTCAGGGAGAACATGCTAACTCCATGCAGAAAGACCCTGAGCCGGAAATCAAACCCAGAACCTACTTGCTGCAAGGCAGCAGTGGCACAGTGCTAACCACTGTTCTACTGAGCAGCCTTTCTGTAAATCCTATCAACTTAATTTCATTTCTCAAACATCAGTGTTTTTCATAATCGGAATGATTTTATCTTTAACTGAAACTGTTGATCCAAACAACCAATAATTCATAAAATAAATCATTTAAAGTATCATATATTTATGTGTTTGTATCTTTTTTAGGGTCGGCCTCACTGTTTTAACATAGCTAAATGTTAAAGCAACTCTATGTAACATTTCAGCGCGGTATTCGCTTCATTTGAGATATATTAAATGTTTTATTCAGATCAGTATTTTCAGCACTTGCTCTATGTTAAAATCCAAAGCCGAAAAAGTTAGCTCCTAGAAGTAGCCTTTCCGGAAAAGATCAGGCACAAACAACTGATTAAACAGGATTAATTTAGTCAGAAAATAAATCAACATTTCACACATTGTAGTTTAGTACACTTTCTATTTTTAGGGAGGGAAAAACATAATTTAGGTATTTTTTTTTACTAAGGAAATCAAGGGCGACCTGTATGAATATCTGGTTGCGCAGATGAGCGGATGGTACAGATCGAGGTTCCAGTGCGGATCAGGTAGTGACACTGCTCGCCTTGGTTAGCATATAGGCTAACCTTGGTTAGCCGGCTCTGTTTCTACCCAATCCGTCCCGCAAGCACGATCCATACCATCCGCTCATCTGCGCAACCAGATATTCATCCAGGTTTCCAAAAATAATGTAATTATAGCACTAAAATGACTTATTTCTACCCTTAACTCACTAAAGAAAGCTACTACACATTTAAAAAAATGTTTTATGACTTTTTTTTTTTTAAATGTTATTCTTTTTCCACTTTCTCCGTTAAACAGCTTCTCTGACATCATCACGGGACATGCTCAGAGCAGTCCGGCAAAATATCATTAAACCATGTTTATCTGTATTGTAGTTGTTTCTCTCTTTAGATTACGTGCTATATATCATAAGGTTAACCCGAAAGGAAAGAAATATTTATGTTTAAATCCAGAGCTGAAAAAGGTAGCTCCCGGAAGTAGCTTAGGATCCCATTTCCAGCTCAGATCAGGGACAGACGAGTGATAAAACAGAAAAGATTTTAATGCATTTATTTTCTCAGGAAAATGCATTATCAGCTTTTGACACATTATAGTTTATTGCACTTAGTATTTTTGGGGAGGGAAACATGTAATTCAGGTCTTTTTTTACAAAATAAACCCAAATGTATATCTGGTTGCGCAAATGAGCCGATGGTACGGATCATGCTTCTGGGACGGATTGGGTGGCGATAGTTTCATCGTCTCTCTTTGGGTTCATGTGATGGAAAACACACCTGACTCTATGAGATATTGTTTTTTATTGTCCAACAGGTCCTTACTTTCAATTTCAGGATCAGTTCTCATTGATTAATGTCAGTGATGCAATTCTGACTTAAATTTTCGTAATTCTGACCGTAATTTTCGGACTATAGCCGCGACTTTTTCCCCATTTTTTGACCTTGCGGCTTATATAACAATGCGGCTTATCTATGGACTTTTACAGCTAACGGCCACTAGGGTAATACCTAAATCTACTGATTTTACCATCCACCATGTTGACGTCACATTAGCTTCAACACACAAGTACGGTAGCCGTGCGCGGGAATTCGGAGCTCCTCCGGAAGCAGACTTTACCGTGAATAGTACGAGACAGAACGACAGCGAGAAAGACAGACATTAAACATAAAAAAACCTGCGGCTTATAGTCCGGTGCGGCTTGTATATGTACAAATCATGCAATTTAGCTTCTGCGGCTTATATTCAGGTGCGGCTAATAGTCCGAAAATTACGGTAATATGTTCTGATTAATGAATGACCCTATGAACATTTCTATATTAATGTAACGCCCCTGGTGTTTGTGTCAGAAACTTTCTACTTCTGGTTTTTGACAGTAATATCACCTTAAAGCCTGACTGGTAAAAAAAGATAAGTTACATAACTTATTGTAGATTTTCCCTCCCAAGCATCAGCATCATTTTCTTGGCCATATAAGGAAAACATACTAATGATTACTGCCTTGTTAAAATGTGCTTTATTTTCCCTACAGTGGCCCAGTTGAGGCGCGTTAAGAAGCCTGATGGAGAAATCAAGCCTTATTCTTTAATGGAAAGAGAAGGTAAGCAATAAGGCAGGTAATAAAAAGAGACTTTAGTAATTTAATGAAATGTAAAGCGAAGCTTTAAGGAAACGATGAATCATCACCAAGCTGCCCAGACATCAAACCACACATAAAAACCTTCATTTTCTCAAGTCATTAATGAACCCATGTCTTTTAATTCTCTCATATGAAAACTGAACAGTTTCATGATCATTAAAAGCTTTTAAAGGGAAACCAAAGGATCACAGTTCAGAAACAACTTGAAAACTGAACTGATTATAAAGGAAAGGAAAAGTCCGGTCAGCAAGGAATAATCAATGGTCCTTCTCCTTTTATTGGACAAACCAGATTTTCTCTACGTTCTTTTTCCTGTTTGCTGCCATTGCGGATCTTGACCTGGCCTTCTTCCAATGGAGTGTAAACCATGTAAAGTTTATTAAAAGGAAAAACGCTCAATAGTGGTTGTGAAGAGCCAAAGACGTGCCCCCCCCCAGAGCACCGAGGCGACCGCCGGTGGCCAGTCTCGGCATTACCAGATGACCCAGTACAGGGCTCGATGTTAACCATCGCCCGATCTCCCGGGGCAAGTAGTTTTTATTGTTGGGAGAGTACAAATTGCAATGCATTTGCCCACCGGGCAAGTGCAATGATTGCAAAAAAAAAAAATTATTTATCACTCAAAATTACTTTAAAATCACCGACATTTGATGAAAATGACCCACAAGCATTGCTGGCGCCATTTTTGTTGTTTTGTACACATTCTCGCGTGATTTTTGTCCACCTAGCGGTAATTTAGATGTAGTTACCAAAACGACAAACGGCCGCATTTATTTTGTCAGGGAAAACTAATCCTGAGTCAGTTACTATGTATAATGATTCTGTAGAAAAATCACATTATATTAATAGTATTATCTTGTATAAACATACCGTGACTCTAAAATAAAAGTTATTCATTTGTGACATTGACTTCTGTCTTGTGCTTTATCTTGTTTTTAACCTGTCAAGTTTTTTTTAGATCTTTAACATTATAATTTATATTTTTCCAAGCACACAACAGTTTAAAGCAAAGTTTAGTTTGAAAAGAATGTGCAGGAAGGATTGAAAAGCATGTTAACACGGTAATGTAGGCTTGAGTTCATTATCTGACGCATGCAGATACACACTAGGAACCTGGAAACTTAAAAAATACTGAATTACAAAAAACATTTAAAAAAACAAACATGTTTGATATATATACCAAAATGAATATTAGGAACTATATTTATCAAACATTATACTGGGCAAGTAAAATTGTTTCTGGGCAAATGAAATGTGAAAGTTACTTCCCTGAAGGGCAAGTGGTAAGAATCCTTAACGTCAACCCCTGCCCAGTAGGTGAACCGGAAATCCGGATCGGGGGAGGGGAGCGGTGGACCTCTTATTTTAATGATCCACCCAGAAAAATAACATCCTCCACTATACCTTTAAGTATGAGACCCGCTGCTCTTTGTTTTCTCAAATCTTTTCCTGTTTTGGATTTTCTTGGACAGTGGTTATGTGGTTTTTCTTGCTAAGCTTTTTCCAATTGACATTTAGTTATGCATCTTTTAATGCTTTTAGCAGCAGCAGCCAGGAGCTTCTCTGCTTTAAAGGTCTAAAATGAAACAACCTGAAGGCAGAAAATAAGCAATAACATCAGAAACCCAGCGCTTCTCATGTTAATGTTGAATTTGACCTCAGTCATTAATTAAAAGCTTTAAACTTGAGGAAACGCTTGTCTGAATTGTTTTGTTTTGGAAGGAAATAGCAATGAACCTGCACTTAATTTTCTTTCTAGTTCTCCACTAATAATTATTTGTATTCATTTTTTACGTTTTGATGCCTGATCTATTTTTGTTTATTTATCTGCAGTGGTTCGCCAAGAGCAGAGGACTCTTCCTTGGCCGTTCGCTGCTCCTCAGTCCCCTCAGCGATCAGCATCTTCCCAGTGCTCCTCCAGTGTGGGATCGTCTCCCAGTAGGGCGCCTCCTGGTGTCACACATTCATCTTTCCGTGGAGACAACAGGGAGCAGAGTCCACATTCACCTCTCATCGACTGCTGCAGGACAAGGCGTAGCAAGTAAGAGCTATTAACTAAGATCTATTAATGGATTTTCTTAGCTACAGGATGGAAATGCTTATTTAAAAAGATTGACATCTGCTTTAAAGTCAGGAACTGCCTCTAAATTCAGCTCAAACCGATTGGAACTAATCTTAAATAACTACATAAATGTATATATTAAAGGAAAAGTCCGGTCAGCAAGGAATAACCAATGGATCATTATCTATAACTAAAACTAATACATTCGCTGTGATTTAATTAATTTAGCATTAATCTGTAAAATAATAAATAATTTTCATTGCGATCACTGAGTCTGGGAGCGGCCATTTTTGCCCAAATATAGTAGCCCCTCCCTCCTGCCATCTTCCATCAGTGACGTCACGGTGCGGTAAGCCTAGCGCCATTCTCCCCGCTTTCCAAGCTAAATCAGTGGGAACTACTAGACACATCTGCAATCAACAACAATTATTGAAGATTTCCAGAGGACTTCACCATTGAAATTCACCAGAGCTATAGTGAAACTGACAATGCCCACGTGCATGGCAGCTGGATGCTGGAATACATCGGGTAAAAGTGAAAAAAAAACCAACAACTGTTATTTCACCTTTCTGCCAACTTGAAGAGGGAGGATTTGCCATCGAACTTCTGGCCAGAGAAAAAACATAATATGTAGCCAACATTTGGAAGAAGAATGTTTTCAAGATGACTTGGATAATAGCGCGTTGTGACAAACACCAGATACAGCACTGGGACTTGATCAACAGCCGATACTGCACCGTGACGTCACAAACTAGGTGGCAGTAGTGTTCTTTGACAAACATGGATGCTTCCAGTAAAGCACATTCACATGAAAATTACTCTGAATTAAAAACATAATTTATTGAACAGGATGGAATAATTTGAATATTTAGAATATTTTCGGAAGTTTGAATTCTGCATATGACCGGACTTCACCTTTTTAATAAAAAACAATTATTTTGTCTGTCAATCTGCCAAAACTCCTGAAGTGGAAAAGTTTTAGTATCACCTGATTTGATTTCATAAAAAATCTTCTAAGCACCTTTAGTAGCAGCCCTAATCAATTTTTTTTTATCAGATTCCAGTTATATCTGTGATAGTGGGTTTTTCTTTCAATAAACGACGGACCAAACAGTTTCCCATCAGCCGTATCCGACTCTGATGACACCTCGTGATTCCTGTTCCTTTCAACCACTTTTAAATACGCAGAGACTCGGATTAGTGCTTTTTTATTTTAGCTTCCTGAAAAACTAAACAGAGTTTAGACCAATTGGTAGGTTAAACAGCCTGCATCTAAAATCATGTAACAAATGTTGGAGTAATACTGAGCTGAGATTTTAAATTGACTTCCTTTACTTCCAACTCTTCTGGAACATTGCAGTGAAATTCGTCGGTAAAGCATCTCTGCATATCTTCAGCTTTTCTGTCTTTTAACTGGTGTCTACAGGAATTATCTCACCTTCTCCGTCCTCCTTTCACTCCATGACAGGATTCATTTTTATCCTAATATTGGCTTTATCTTTATCTCCATCCTGCCTCTACTTCTGCCAAAACACATTTCCTTTAAATAGAGAGGAGCCGCATTGCTTCCTGTTTCATAATTTCTCTTAAGAAGATATTTTTAGCATTCGTGGCAGTGTGAGTTGGCATTTTTTCTCTCTCCCTGTTCCATTTTAATAATTTGTCTTAATATCAGTTTTATGTCAGGGTTTTGTTGCCTTTTGAGCTTTTTTGCAGCACTTTTGGCAAACTTATTTCCTCAAATTTCTTGTTTGTCTCCGAACGTAGGCTCTCAGAAATTCATTAAAATTTAGTTTATAAATATATTGAGTCATCTTGCTTGTCTGCATTACAGTAATCTAATGACTGGAGAAATCAGATGTTGTTATTTTATGTTTAATTCTATTCCAAACCCGCTGGGAATTTATGTTTCTGATACTTTAAGATGTTTATTGCCCTCCCCTGTAGGGGTGGAAAATATCTTATTTAATCAGGTATTATTTCAGCTGTTATATATATTTTTATGAACACACGCCCTACTAACTGTGTGTTAGAACAATAGATGAAAGAGTGATTCTGAGCACTAATCATGGTCAAACAGTTAATTCTTCACATCCATGGAATAAATTCACCACAACGTCTGTTTAAAATATAAGATTTTATTAACAAAAATCATTCAGCTCCAAGTCAAACATATTTCAGTTTAAAACTATTAACTAAAACTAGTGAAACTAAACTAAACTAACTACTATGTACAAAGAATTAGGGGAAACGGTTGAAAAACATATTACAGTTTAAGATGGATTTTGTGTTTGAAATCAAAGTTTATCTGGAATAATTTGGGATCTGATCAAATTAGCTTTTCACTAATTTTAAAGAAATTGTAATGTTTTCAGACCAATTCACAATGCAAATCCATGAGGTGAATAAAACATTATTTGGCCAAATAATGTTTTATTGAATGATTTGCTTAATGAAGAACCAATAACCTTTAGTTAATGATTCTTTACCCTCTTTGAAATAGCTAGCAGCGAATAGACATCCATGCTAATGGAAATGTAACGAGCATCTGAGGAACACATGAACACTAATGTTATATCAGTGTTTAGACCCTTAGTGAATAAAGCTTGTCCAAGCTTCAGCAACAGCTCAACACATGTTTCTGTATAGCATAGCGTAGCATGCAGTCCATCCTGTTAGCATGGTTCTTTCTCATCAGTAAACTCACCAGATCTCCATTCTCTCTGGAGATCCTGCTGAAGTGGACCCCAGGTTCATGGGCAAGGGAGACGAGGTAAAAAGAGACAATCCTGTGTCCTCTGTGGGTTTGTCTTCCTCACAGAGAGGGGGCTGGCAAGTCACACCTCTGTGGGAGGTCCTGTGACTGCTTTTGGGGGCCTTGGCTGAAAAGGGGGGGTTGCAGAGATTCCACAGCTGTTAATTCACCAAAGCTGCGGCTTCTTCTCTGGTCATCATTTCAGATTAGATTAGATGAACTTTATTGGTCTCACAGCGGAGAAATTCACTGGTCACATATTGGCATAGTAATTAAAGAAGGTGCTAACAAGGAGGAAAAAGGTGCATGGAACCAAATGATGGAACATGGAAACTGGTTCCCAATGTCCAAAAACCATGATCATAGCATAAGGCACAGCACAGATAACTGATCATATCCAATCTTGTGAGGTGAAAAAACCAGAGAAGCACATGGAAGTCATTGAGGAAAAAATGGTAACAAATTTATTTACCAAGAAGAATTCAAATTTCTAACAAAATTGGGCCCATAAAGGAAAACAAAAGAAAAAAATCAACATAACCCAAACCTGACACAAAAGGGAAACATATACTAGTTGATCAGACCATTTTGACACAAGAGGGAAACATTGGACACATTTACCTAAACAAAACTACAACAAAACACCAAACTAATCCTAAATCTGCAACCTTTGAGAAAGAGAACTTCCCATTAATTAAACTTAATTACAGAAAACAAAACCAAATAGACAAACCCAAAACCTTCCTACACCTCTACTAAAAGTAAGTGGAAGAGTCCAACTAGGCCTCCTTGCCATTTGCAGCTGGCGCCTCCTTTCCTTTACTGGCCACGCCCCCATGACGGCCTCCCAGGAACTGGCAACACAAATGAGAAGTATATGAATTTACAGCAAAGCTAACAAGCAAGAAATGACTAAATGAGTCGACTAAATATGTGCACCCAAATAGTTAACCAATGCCAAATCAAAGTAAAATACAGTACAGTAAAATATAAGAGATTTATTATAATGAAAGAATGATCAGACCATTTGTTGTGTGGTTGCACATGCGGTCATCACAGAGGTCTGCGCTCTCCGAGTGCTTCTCTAGTTTAAATGTTGATCAGTCGTCTGAAAGCAGCCGTCTTTATTAGGGTGGAGGACAGATAATCTTGCTAATGATATCAATTGTTCTCAGAAGGTGTAGAAATGTCAGCAACAGGAAATGGTTGTTGGCAACTTTCAACAACAACATGGTCGACATAATCCTTTACAAGAAGGAAATAGGCACACTGCAAAAAATGTACATCTAAATAGATAATTCTTTCTTAAAATAAGTGTCTTGAATTGAGGAGGTAAGTGAGACATTTTGCCAATGGAACGAGACAATTTACATTTAAAAATAAGAAAAAACAATTCCATTGTCTTATTTCAAGTGCATATTATCTAATTATCCTAGATTAAGAGTAAAAATACTCATTCCATTGCCAAATCATCTTATTTACTTGCTCAAATTAAGGGTGAATACCACTAATTTAAGACATTTTACTAATTTCTAGATCATTTTTGTATTGCAGCAGACTCAGAATGATGACATAATGAAATAAAGAGGGTAGGCTCATTAAATCCTGGCTGTTTCTCCACTAGCAGCTGTAAAAATGAGCTGAGGTGCTGTTCAGACTGTGCTGAACAAAGTCCAGGAATCAGAGAGAAAGCTGCCGGTTGTAAAATGGTTCACGTCTTCAGTGGCGTGTTGAGAGAAGTGAGAAAGTGTCTGCAGATTAATCAAAGCTTTAAAAAAAAAAGTGGATGATATTGAAGGATTGTTCATCTGGATGTGAAGACATTAAAAATCCCTCAGCTTTCATTTATTAGCTCTGCAGATCTTGGGTGAGATGATCACATGTTCCTTTTTGTTGGTCCTGATTGGCCGCTGGTTAATCATAAATCTCTTTTTCTCCCCTTTTCTCATTATTTTCCCATCACACATTTCACCTAATTTGTTCCTTTCTTTCATTTTGTCTGGTATTTCATCTCCAGTTCCCTCGGTAGATCTCAGCTGGGTTTTAATTGACTGAACCTCATATTGGTTTTAAACAGTAGCTTGATGAGACGATGTTCCTGATAGCGATCAGGGAAGCTGCCGGTTCTACTGTACATTAGACTAAGGACAGAGTGATAAGTTACTGCTTTTAGTTGCTACCTTTTTTTAAACCCACAAAACCTTGACTTTGTCTTAAAGCCTTGTTCCCATAAAGAAATAAAATGTTTGTTTTTTTCTCAGACTGCGGCTCTGTTTGTATCTTCGTTTCGGTTCACTGAGGTGCGAAGTTCAAGAGGGGAAAACCAGATCCTTTCCTCTTCCATCAACTTCCTCCTGGTCGTTCTGGGATCCTGATTCATTCCAAACATTTTCTCCAGGAATATGGAGTCAGAAAGGGGTCAACATTTTTTAAACTTATAAATCTTATTGGAAACTGAACCAATAAAAGTTGAAACAGAAAAAAAAAATTTCTAATTTTACTTTATAATCTGAGAAACTCAAAAAGCAAACATAAAATAATAAGAATTAAATGTAAATTATTCTCCTCAATTTATTATTTTAATTACACTTTTTTGTTTTTATTTCTTTTCTTTGTTCCAGTTTTATATTTTAAGATATATTATTTTATATTATATTATTGAAAGTTCCAATGTAAATGTCTTTTAATGTAATATTTCACACAGAATGCTGCAGAGACCCCCGTCAGACTGGGGTCAAAATCTGATGCTGAAAAAGTAATTTGAAACAAAAAAAATGAAAAAGAAACTGAAAGAAAGGAAAAGAAAGAAAATATAAAAATATAAAATCTAAAACTGCAAAAAAGAGAAAGAAAAGTATAAAGAAAAATATAATTAAAATACTAATCTAATATTAGATTCAATTCTTATTATTACTATGTTTGCTTTTTTAGTTTTGTCACATTATAAGGTAAAAATTAGACGTTAAATATCATTATTTAGAAGTTTGCAAACATTTTGACTCCTTTCTGACTCCGTACAGCAGCCTCTGCTTCTCCCGGTCAGAGAGGCTCAGTGGTTCCTGAACAAACTTTTACGTTTTTAAACGTTTCTGCTCAGATTTTATGAATCCAAAAGAAACCGAAACATTCTAGGCTGTAAGACGAAATTTAAACCTCAGCAATGTTCTGCAAAGATCTCACAAACAGGATTAGTGTCAGAGAGTAAAATCTACAATCAGTCCTTTGGATAAAAGCCTCCCTTTGATCCTGTAGCGCTCCTTAGGAGGTAAACTCATAAACTCTCTGCAGCTCTGAAGGAAAAAAAACAACCTTCACCACCAAAATCCTTTGAGTTCCTCAGGATCTGTAAAAGGTAAAGATCTGCTCCTTTGTTCCCTCGGCTGAAGTCAGAGCCACACAGCTTCTGAATCTGAGGAGCAACAATCTTTTTACCTCAACAGAAATCCTCTGCAGCTGGAACAGATTTTCATCTTTTAATAATGTTAATCATTAAATGCTGCTGCAGGGAGAACTGGAACTACGTAGCTATGGAGCCCTGCTTAGATGAACGGGTTTTGGTTCTGATCAACCCACAGAGAACGATAATTAACCTTGTTTAGACCAAACCAAGGATCTAAGTTCTTAGAATAACCAAACCCTGAATAAAGTCATGATTTTAAAGGAAAATCTGTTAGAGGAAAGGTACTGCTATACATTTTTTATATCATTTCCATCAATATTTTCATTTTTTTTACTGTTCTTTTCATCCCTCAGCTTATTTTCCTTTGAATTGTGTTTTCTTTTTGTCATCCTCTCTGTTCGGTTCGTGTCATTGGTTTTTGTTGTCCGGTAGCCCAAAGGCTCTGGTTGCCCGATCAAGCCTGTACAGTCGCCACATGGACCTCAGAGCTGCAGGACTGTTGGACAGAAACCTTTCAGGTAAGGTTTTATTAGGGGTTTGAGGAGATGAGATTTTCTTTTTAATCCTGGTTTTTGGTGCAAAAAAAAAACAAAAAAATATTGAAATTGATCAAAGGCAGCATTTCAGCAGGCAACCGGACTTCCACTCAGTTTGACATCAACCCTGTGAATCTCCAGAATTGACAAATACAGGAAAGCTGTTGAAACTTATTGTGAAAAACGGAGCTGAAATCCAGTTAAAGACGTCATGATGGAGAATCTGCACAGATCAGAACTGCTGTTGGTCACATTGAATTGATCTGCTTTCATGAAAAACCCTCAATTTCTCTAAAGAACTTAAATGTGGTGATTAAGTGGACATTTAATCTGA